TTAATTTAACACATTTTTCAATTTCTACCTACTTTAATTATTGAAATATAATATTAGTACAATTAATTTAGTCAATTCTTACATTTTGTATACATAATTGCATTTTTAAGTTTATATGCTTTTAATTTTATATCAAAAAACAATAATATTTAATGAATATTTTATGTAATATGTTAAACTAAATGATATATTAGTGACTATTATAAAAGAAAGTACTTATTCTCAACATCAAAGGAAATACTTACTCTCCTTGTGATAAAAGAAAACATCTATTCTCTCCTTACCATAAAAAATTTTTTATTCGCCTCCTACCCTCAAAGAAAATACTCTCCTTAGCATTAAAGAAATGACTTATTCTCTCCTTACTATAAAAAAAATATTTATCTCTCCACAGCAAAAATACGTACTCTCTCCCTTGCCTGCATTGCCTTATGCTTTGAATCTCTTTTCCTGTGTAAAAAATATGATCATATCTATTGATTTGTATATTTACTCCTCTAAATGTCGTGTGGCATGTTTTTATTTTTTTAATAGGACATGTCAAGTTGTTCTACATATGAAAAAGAAGGGGCTGAAGAAAGGGATTAGACAGGTGAGAAAATCTTTCACATTTAAGTATTTACTTGTTTGAATATTATGGAATGTACTTATACTTTTTAAAAGACAGGTGGTTAATAGGTGATGGCTCTGTTTCTCAATAGTGTTATAATTGCATTTTTTAAAAAAATTTCTTCACTATCTCAAAAGTATACAAAATATTAATTAAAATTATATAAAAATTAATTAAAATTAATAAATTTGTATTTTTAAATAAAATATATTGTATGAAAAAAATATATGTGAAGTATTGTCAAACCGTTGGGTAGTAAAATTATATGTGTTAACGTTGAGAAAAATTATATTTTTACTCCCTATATGAATAATGACTAATTTCAATAAGAAAAAGAAAAGAGAATTGTTAGATTGGAATGGGGTGTTTGTTTTAGTAGCTGTCAATTGGAGTAATAATTATGGCTGGGTTTGATCGAACAAAAAAGTTTTAATTATAAATAACAACGATCCATTGTTGGATAAAAACAAGCCAAACTAATGATCATCAAATGGGTGAAATTTTGAAAAATACTGTTAGAATTGTTGATATTCAATAATTTCTTAATGTCGGCTAATAACTTGAAGTGGCCCAATAAATATTTATTCTTGAGCAAATAAAATAAATAATTTAGTAATAAATTTTTTATCATAAAAATAAAAAATTTTAAATTTATGATTGTATGTTATTTAAGTAAGGTAAAATAAAAAATAAAAAATAGTTGTTTATTATTATATAATTTAAAATTAAAAAATATTTATTCTTTAATAGTAAATTTTTAATTTTAAGTGATAGACATATAGGTGGAAAGCTTAAAATAATAAAAAAAAATATTGTTTTTCATTATAAAATTTAAAAATAAAAAAATCAAAATGTAAAATTTTTTTTGGTATATTTAATTATCGGTTTTAAAAAGGAGATATTCTTTATGTATTCTCACATCTCTCCAATCTAAATCAAAATTTAAATTTAAAAATTTTAATTTCACATTTTAAATTTTTAATTGTTCAACCACTTTATTGGGTTATCAAAATCATTTTGTCTTCCCCTTGGAAATTCAAAATAGAAACTGTGATTTGATCCGTCAATGTTGTCGTATTACTGGCGTGTATATATATTTTGGAAAAACTTTTTGTAAAATTTAAATTATATATATATATATTTTTGTATATAAGAGAGTTAATTATTTAATATTATATTTATAATTTTGATTTTAGTTAATTTTTTTATATTAATAAATAATAATTCAACTAATCTTTTGTTTAATTTAATTTAATTTAATTTTTATTAAATTGTACAATGGTGTTCCTTGTTGGAAGGCCGTTGGATAAAGCGCGAACCCTGAGAACCATCCCCACACTCAGTACTTTTTTTTATTTTTGGAAACATATTATTTCTGGAATTTCATATAAAGCCATCGGTATCATCGTTACCAGCTCAAACTTCCCAAGGAACACCCAAAACTCTTTGTGAACATCCCTTTGTAAATAACTTGAGAATTTGAAGGAGATAGACCGGGAAACCTCCACGACAACAGAAGAAATGGCAGAAGTTCTTGCTGCTTTGAGGTCTCTAATGGCCGCTCACTCCCCTCATCTAGATGCCTTGATCGTTCCATCCGAAGATTATCATCAGGTCAGAGTTGTTCAGCTCTCTTTAATTCTGTAAATTTCATGAGCAGCTTTACCATTTCGATATGGTTTCAGTTAATTTCATGTAGTTTTGATTCTTCGACTCCGTGTTGGTTTGTTATGTTGCAGAGCGAATTTGTATCTGAACGTGACAAAAGGCGCGCGTTCGTTTCTGGATTCACTGGAAGTCAAGGTTTGTTCGCTGTTAATTCGTGAACTGTTCAATTTTTTGTCATTTCAATTTGAATGATTCTTCAATTTTACCGGAGTCTGTTTTAATGCTCTTGAGCATGTGAATATGATTCAGGTTTGGCACTTATCACAAAGGTTGAAGCTAGACTGTGGACCGATGGCCGTTATTTCTTGCAGGCGGAGCAGCAGCTTAGTGATCAGTGGAAGCTTATGCGTATAGGAGAGGATCCTGCTGTGGATGTCTGGATGGCTGATGTGAGTCAATCTTTCTAGAAGCTCTATATATTGTTTATTGTTGAATGCCACAAGAAATGCAAAGTTTTGTATTAGTCTAGCTGTGATATAGATGGAGGTGATTTGTAGAGTGTTTTCTGAATTTATATGAGTTGCTCGTGCTAGTTGACTTAATTTAATGATTCTAATGTAATTCTCAAAATTGAATTCATTAGAACCTGCCAAGAGGTGCAGCTGTTGGTGTTGATCCCTGGTGTGTGTCAGTAGCCACTGCTGAAAAATGGGAACATGCTTTTGCCAAAAAGCAACAGAAGCTAGTGCAAACCACCACCAACTTGGTAGATAAGGTTTGGAAGAATCGACCAGCAGCAAAAATAAATCCTGTTATTGTTCATCCATTGGAATTTGCTGGTCGTTCAGTAGCAGAGAAGTTAAAGAATCTGAGGGGACAGCTTGCCAATGGGAGTGCTCATGGAATAATCATAACAGCACTCGATGAGGTAAATTTATCAAAATGTGGCTTAATTATTTTGTAGTTCATTTTACCTTGAGGTTCAAAATTTCTTCCTTAATGTGCTCTGTCTTCCTGCAACTTTTCTAGTCTCTGTCCCTTCATCCATGTGGACTTTATTGGGTCATGTTTGACTATAGTGGTGGCTATGCAGGTTGCTTGGCTGTACAATATTCGCGGGAGTGATGTGCCCTACTGTCCAGTTGTTCATGCCTATGCTATAGTAACATCCAATTCTGCTCTCCTTTATGTGGACAAGAAGAAGGTGTCTTCTCAGGTGAATTTCCTTTTCAGTTTGTGATGTCTTCTAATTGTTACATGCTGTGGTCAAATATTCAACACCTAGAATTTAAGAGGATTGTCTCTTGCGCAATTTCTCTAATATTCATTCTTTAACTTCCACTTCTCATATATTCTCATTTGTATCCTGTGTTATGGTGGTAATTAAAGCTGATCTGTTCAGTAACTTATCCAACAGTCAAATGATGCCACGATCACTGGCCATGCATTTCTGAATAGTGTTCTTGCATGCATGTAGGCTAAATTATATTAAGCACCTATTTATTTATGTAGGTAAAATCTTCCTTGGAAGAGATTGGTGTTGAAGTTCGAGACTATGGTGCTGTCAGTTCAGATGTTGTCTTGCTTGCATCTAATCGGCTTGGTACTTTATCTGCTCTTAAAAAATTTCATGAAGTTCTAAAGGATGGTGGAATAGTTTCTGGTGAAACAGACATTAACAGAAAACCTACAAGTGAAGAAGAAGAAAAGAAGGGTGAACTCATATGGGTTGATCCTGGTTCATGCTGCTATGCTTTGTATTCAATACTAGATATTGATAAGGTGCTGCTGCAACAGTCACCCCTGGCCCTTGCAAAAGCCTTAAAGGTTGTACATACACTTCCTATCCAATTCAATAACAGGACATTAGTTTAAGAATGATGGAAACTTCTGTTGTGTTGCGTCTTAGTAGAAATAATTTATACATTTAGTTCATAATATCATGCCTGATATCATGCCCTGTGAATCGTGAGAAAGATTTGGAGTTGTGCAAGAATTGCTAAATAATGTGGTATTTATTTGATCATATTGTTTCTTCTACCATTTTATTTTTATTAACTTACTGTTTCTAATTTTAGAACCCAGTCGAGCTGGAAGGGTTAAAAAATGCACACATTCGGGATGGTGCAGCGGTAGTGCAGTTTCTAGCATGGCTAGATAAGCAGGTATGGGTCCTTGAAGTTTGTATGTTCTCCTGTTGTTTAACAAGTTCTTTCTCTGATTAAGGTACTACCTACCCCCACATAAATCTGATCCTGATATTTCCCATTTCCCATCACCATTGTTACTCAAGCTTGAAACATGATGAAGACATAACTTTTTCCTGGTGTACAGATGAAGGAGAGTTATGGGGCTCCTGGTTATTTCGCAGAGGTTGTTGGAGCAAACAAGACAAAGCATCAGTAAGTCCATTCTGGCGATTTTTTTTTTCTTTTTCTGGTAAAGTTTCAGCATAGCATCAAGACATTTATGTTGTTCCTCAAACACTCTCCTCCATCTCCACATCATGTCATTGTTGTGCCTCGGTCACAAGATCGAATAAAATAATAATTAGTGAACTTATCAAGAAATATCGATAAGGAAATATCATTGAAATAGACGTGAAAAGCTTATTTACTTAGTGTAGAACAATCGGTGCAGTAGAAATATATATAGTGTGTCACCCCCAAGATGCTACAGCTTTATAATTACACTCTATGAATCTGCACTACTCATGGAATCACCAAACTCAAAACATCCTCCTTTACCCAAAAATATTTTGAAGATAGAGTAAGATAAGAAAGTAGAAGAATGTGGAGGAACACCCTTTGTTGAGCAAAAAGACATGTCCTATTTATAAGACTTATGGTCTTGTAACTCTTATTTGTAAGTTAATGATAGAAATAAATTGAGCAATTATTATGAAATAATGTGTCATTAAATATGAAAATTAAACTACAACAGTTAGTTTGACCAAGTCCTTAATGGAACTATAAATTTGATTTATAAAATATATTATTTTATTTTTTATTAAAATATTTAAGTTCCTACATTTATCATGTTATCCATTTATAGATAGATTGCCCCCTAAATACCTTCACTCTTACTCTGAAGCACATTGATCTATCAAGAAATGGTGTCCTATATGCTACAAATGAACATACATGAAACATTTAGCAGCACACAAAAGAAGAGATTAAAATATATTAAACTTAATATGGTGTTGGATTAATTTTTTGTTCATGATTAAATTTTATCAGTATTGCTGTCCATATTCATGTTAATGTATTTTAGTCATGTAGCATGGAACCTACAAATATCTGGTAATTTGTAATTGTTATCTTTTTTTCATTGTTTGCTGTTTATGTACTTTCTAAATCTACCATTGAGGAACTTGTGCCATTGTGTTGCATTGATCATGAACCTAACACTTGACGTAGTCATCTTTTCTATGTCTAAAATGGCGTGCCCAATAATGATGCCAGAAAATTTGTTCTTTCTGAAAATGCTTTACCGTTGTCTGTTACATGTTAATTTTGTCATGAGCAAATAAACAAAGTAATAAAAGGGATGGACAAGCAAAATTCAAATGCATCGCAGTATATTCTGTCTTAAAAGTATAAAATCTTTTCTGCATTGGTAGGAAGAAGATTTGCAGAAAAAGATTTTGTTCTAAGTTTGGTTGGCTTGAATGGGATAACCGTATAACTATCCATTAGTCCTTACATGATTAAACAGGGAATTTGCCTTTTCTTGTTCTCCCCAGTTCTGTTCTCTCATTTTCCAATTTGCTATATCTTATGAATGCTTCCCTCATCAGTCATCAGCTACCATCCCATTATCACATCACATTTATCAGTTCTGGGTCAGAAGCCCAGCAAATAGGTTTATTTGTTCACACTTTTTACTGCCAACCTGTGCAAAGTGTTCTAATTTTTGCATGCAGTTATATACATTCTTGACATCATATGTGAATAAACTAATGCAGGGAAACCATAAAACTGACAGAGGTGACGGTAAGTGACAAGTTGGAGGGTTTTCGAGCATCAAAAGAGGTAAAGTTACCATTTGGTAATAAAGAAAAGATAGGAAAATATCATACTATAATTTAGGACACAATGATGTTTAAATTTTTAAGTTGGAAATTTTATTGGCTTTATTAGTCCAAGTGTGGCTTGAATTGACAGTAAAAATTAAACATCTTTATTTTAGTAGCTTCAACCTGTATTATTTGTTTCAATGAATTGAACTCTCATTCCCCCCACCCCCCTTTGTTTTTAATTAACATTTTATAAGGGCCAGTATATGTTGCCTGACTATGATTCTTTTTGCTTAAAAGTAACTGTGAATTGGAGTGAACTTTGTTGCGTCAGGGCTTGTAGGGTAAGAATTCCGGATAGTTACTCCAAGCCATGAAGAAAAGATTGGTCTTGTATCTTACTTATGGAGCCATCAATTGTGTGACTTGTTTTTTGTTTTGCAAATATTATAGAAAAAATTGTGTTTTGTTGCAGCACTTTAGAGGCCTAAGTTTTCCTACCATTTCCTCTGTTGGTCCAAATGCTGCCATCATCCACTACTTACCACAAGCAGAGACATGTGCAGAGCTTGATCTGGATAGCATATATTTATTTGATTCCGGAGCACAGGTTTGTGACTTGTCAACAAGCATAAATAATATAAGATTAAACTGATTAGTCTAAGTTGTAGATACAATTTTATCACCACTGAATTCTCTATTATTGTTGGTTAATTTCTTAATTAGTTCTGTTAATGGTATTGAATGTAGTATCTAGATGGAACAACAGATATAACTCGGACAGTTCATTTTGGAAAGCCTTCTGCACATGAGAAGGCCTGCTATACTGCGGTAGGTTTGCTTTCTTTGTTGTATACTTTATTGCTTGGTATTTTGGGTTATAAATGGAGATTTCTTAATAGTTAATACAACAAAATACATACTAATAGTCACTGATTTTCTTGTACTTGGTTCTAAAAGTAAGGAGAAGCAATTTGCCTGTTGACCTTCTTCTTCTTCTTCTTCTTCTTCTTCTCTCACTTTGACTTTATGGAAATGATCTCTATATTAAACATTGTGGGTATTTTATTTATAACAAGTTTGTAAATCACAACATTACAAATTCTTCTTCTCCTCTCACTTTGACTTTATGGAAAGGATCTCTATATTAAACATTGTGGGTATTTTATTTATCACAAGTTTGTAAATCACAACATTACAAAGATCTACAATTTTTCGGATTATATGGGTATTTATACCTTTGGCTCGACTAGCTAGTTCAATAGGCACCTGCAAACTCCATCCACAAGCACCGTGCAAAGCTCCACTGAAAGGTGGCCTGCTGAAATTTTTATTATTTTATTTATTTTATTTACTGACATGGCAATGGAGGGGTTTGAACCTGTCTTCCCAGCATCATTTGTATCATTCCTTACCATTCAACCAATCTCAGGGGGTAACAAAAGCAGCGTTCTCTATTGCAACAATGAAAAGTAGAAAAAATGTTCAGCAGAATATTCATCATCAGTGGAGTATCTAGTGTTGTGTATTGAGTATATTGAATTTAAAGTCCAAAGATCCTTTTCTATTTGTTTATTTTTGGACTATGTATCAGTTCCTCTGGCCGTAGTTTTTGGATGTTTACTCTTAATTATTGGAAGCCAAGATTATAGGATGCTTAGATTATTTGTTTTTGTAAACTAACGGTGGTTAAGCTGCTTGGTTCAATGTAGGTTCTCAAGGGCCATATCGCTTTGGGTAACGCTGGATTTCCTAATGGAACAATTGGTATTGCCAGCTTTTCTCCCTTTTTATTTTCAAATATTTAATTAATTATCTGAAATCTTTCAGTTTGTAGTCCTTTGTATTGAATCTGTTGAAACTTTTAATATCTGAATTCATGACTTTTTCATTGTTTCATTGCTTTTCGCAGGTCAAACTCTTGATATTCTTGCTCGCATTCCTTTATGGAAGGATGGTCTTGATTATCGACATGGTACTGGTCATGGAGTTGGGTCTTACCTATACGTCCATGAAGGTCAGCAATAAACTGTAATTGTTTTTTCTTTTAATGCAAAGGAAGTTAGTGCTTTGCTATCGCAGTAAACTACAATTGTTTGCCTTGTCTTTGCACTTGATCAAACTACTCACTTTCCCCCCTTGTCTGTGTGTTGAACTACTTTGTGCAGGACCTCAGGTGATTAGTTTCAGACCACGTACTCCAAACGTGCCACTGCAAGCTTCTATGACTATAACAGATGGTTAGTGTCATGTTATTCCAATACTTTCGTCTGGGCTACATGAACTGCCTGTTTGTTGTTCCATTGTTGACTATACCTGGGGTCATATCTCTGTTAATATTGGGAAACATATTTACTCAGTAATTGCTCTGATGCTTGGTTTCTAATCTCCTTTCATACATATCGGTCCCCTGTTTTCAGCCACTCACTGTGTGAGGGCATTCTCATTGCACCTACCTTCTTTTTTTTTGGTTCGGTTTTTCTCTTGTGCATGGAGATTTCTACCTTTTGATATTGTTGAAAGTCTATTCAAAAAATTCCCTTACTGTAATGTCAAACTAATACAGTCTACACTTGTTTTGAATGACTTCATGTCATTTCATTCAATACATCCTTCTGAGAATAAAAAAGTAATATGGAAAATTCATTTATCAGAACCTGGGTACTATGAGGATGGGAACTTTGGTATAAGATTAGAGAATGTGCTGATAGTGAAGGAGGCTGGTACGAAATTCAATTTTGGTAATAAGGGCTACTTATCATTCGAGCACATAACATGGGTAAGTTTCTAAATATTAAGTTATTTGACAAAATTTAAGAAGTATTTATTTTAGAAGTACTATTTTTTTTTTATAAATTTAAATTTTTATTTGAGAAAAATTTAAAAATTATCTTTTAAAGTGAATTTTAAGTAAATTTTGAAAAAAACTTAAATGTATAACTTTTTCAAAATTTACTTAAAACATACTTAAAATAGTAGTTTTAAGTGTTTCTTTCTAACAAAAATTTAGATTTATAAGAAAGAATAGTATTTTTAAAGTAAGTACTTTTAAGTTTTACCACCCTCAATGTGCAATTTATCATCTCCAATTTGATCTTTTCTTTTCTTTCTTTTTTTTATCGGCATGTCTCAAGTTGATTACTATTGTGTTTGTTTTCTTTTTTTTAATGATTATTGCAAATTAAATTTTATTATGTTGATGTTACTTACATTGGAAAATATTAATAAAGAAAAGTCCTGCTAGCAAAACAGTAGTAACCTGTGGGAATTATTCTTGTGGTTTAGTTTTGGACTTCATTTTCAAATTAATTCAGAAGAAGTCAGATTTCTGATTCAATAAACTATTTGCTTTCATTAAGCTTATAACTTCTCTTCGTGTTTTGGTCCATATGTGGTTCCATGCTTTAGCACATCAGGATTGGTTCTATTTTTTTAACCATTGGAAAATGATTCAAAGATAATTTTTTATATAATTTTATATGTTATTTAAATAATTAATTTTTTCACTTATTTAAAACTTATGATATAAAGTATATTTATTAATTTAATAATATATAAAAATTGTATAAAAAAATTATATAAAAAATTTGTCTTTACATCATTGCCATTAACAATTCCTCCATATTTCTTGTACGGATTTTTTAAATTTCAAAAATAACAGAACATCTAAAACTCTAAGCAGCTGAATTTGCTTCTAAATATTAGTATTTGTTTGTTGGATCTTATAAAAATTAAAAGAAAAATATTTTAAATTACATTGTTTTATTAAGCACCATGAGAAATTTAAAATCAAAATAAATTCATTTTAATTTTAAAATAGATTATTTTAATCTTTTTCAGTAAAAATTCATTAAAATAATATAATTTTAAAATATTTTTCTTTAATTTTTTAAAGATTCCACTGACAAATACTTTTTCAAGCTATTGATATAGTTTTTGATAGTTTTTGATAGTTTCTCTCACATCCAGGCACCATATCAGAGTAAGCTAATTGAGTTGAGCCTACTTACACCAGAAGAGATAGAATGGCTGAATAGCTACCATGCAAAATGTAGGGATATTCTTGCCCCCTTCATGAATGAAAATGAGATGGCATGGCTCAAGAAAGCCACTGAACCTGTGAGTGCTTATGGTGGTGGAACCTGGGTTTTCCCCAGGATGTGGCCTTGTATTATACTGTAGACAGTTTACTAATAAAAATAACAATATTAATTTCAAATAAAAAGATAAACTGATATAAATCAAAATAACTATAACACTAACATATTGATTAAATAAAACACATACTAACCATACAATTCTTTAATATGGAGATAAACATCATTTTGATCCATGGAGGAGATGGCTTCATTGAACTTAAATTTACCATGAACAGCCTACAATTTAAAAGACAATTTCATTCAAAATTAGGTAAAAATTAATCATAGCTGAGTTTCTAACTTGAAACTTTTTATTTTAATAAATGAAAAACTAAAGAAAAAAAAGTTAATTGTAAGTGTGATGTCACAAAAAATCAATTAAGAAACAAAGAGAAGATTCATCTCACCATCCCCAAATAGCAAGTAAATGATTAAAGATAAACTCACAAAAGTAATACCATTTTTTTTTCTTGTGATTGATTTATAATTAATTTACTTGTTAATAATATTTTATTAAAAAAATATTCTTCCACTTACTATTAATTAAATCTATTAACTCAAAGAAAATGGTCGAGCACAATATTTATCCAAAATCTAAAACTTAAAAGCCTCATAATCTAATAACAAAATATAATACAAGTTAACTACAAACGAAAATACTGTTGTTATAATGTTACGTTACATTATAAGTGTATAATATGATGTATTATTATATAATTAATTGATTTTATTTAAGAGTTTATATGTAATATTATATATATTTATTTAATATTATGTTATAATTATAAATTTATAATCTTTTATATTATTATAATTATAATATTATCGAACTACAAAAACTATAGAGAGACAAAGAATTCACAAAAAAAATCATTTAATATGATAGGGCCGAGTATAACAAGACTTACACTATTTTGTAAAATTTTTGGGCCTAGGGTAGGCCTGTTCCTAACCTTGGGCCAACACAGTTCCGCTGGCTGTGCTTATGGGGCAGAGTCATTGGGATTTCTCGTGTAAATAGATCTATTATATTTTTCTAAATAATCCCTAATCTCTTGAAGATCTTTAGCACCATTTTATCTGGAACTAGGAAATTTCAACATCATAGTAATTTTGTACAAATTCATAAAGATAATGTTATACTTATAATGCCACTTAATATTGTAAATTTATAATTATAATGTATTATTAAATAAATAAATACATATAATATCATGAATGAATTTTAAAACAAAAAATCAATTATATAATAACTTGTCATAATTGTAAATTTATAATGCCATGTAATATTATAATTGTATCATTTTAAAGCTCATATGAATGTGGAAACCAATAACTCAATTAAGGGTCAATTCTCGTTGAATCAATATAATTGAGTCCCATTATTGAGAGTAGTCATTGCTATAATTGAGGCAACTTGCTTCTTTATTCGTTGCCTTTGCGTATTGTAACTTATATTCCCATAATATTTTTGTCATTTCACGGAAGACCAACGTGAGTGGTTCCTAACCAACAAAGGAATGTGAACAAGGACCGTTGCATGCTGTGTAAATAGTCGAGGACTAAGTTGAGCTACGAAATAGGTAA